GATTGTATTACCGGAGGAACAGATTTTGAAGGGAATGAATGATCAGTTATGTACGTCCGAATTACAAGAAGCAAATTTGTGTTAAACGGTTAGAAATATATTTCGGAACTGTTCGTACTTTTTTAAATTTAAAGATTAGATAAAGAATCAAAAATTCTACAACTTGACAAAACTGGTCTTCACATAGGGTGATAGTGGTTCCGGATTAATGTTCAAGACTGGAAATGGGATATGGAATGTTGCTGGAGTTGCTTCAGCCGGAACAGATTGCCGAATTATTAACATAGCAAATAACATGAAAAATGGTATTTCAAGTTTCAAAAGTACAAAATTAATTTAAATTATATATATTCAATTCTATAATTAAAGGGGTAATTAAATGGTGAAAACTAATATCTGTTCAAAGTATTGATACAAAGTCTATTTCTATACAATGTATCTATTCGGGTGACAATATGATTTTTCTGATCACCTTTTTTTTAATTTGTCAGAAAAACTCATAAAATTTAATATATTTTTATCCATTCAATATTTTAATCAGTTTTATTGTTATTAATTACTATTATTATTATCATTACTATTATTGCTATTATTATTAATTATAATTATTATTAATTTCGATCAATTGTAGAAATTCAAAGCAAAACATGCAAAGATTTGTTTGGAAATTCCAAAATTAATATTGCTTATAATGAATTTACAGTAGAGAATGAGCTAATCAACGATATCAGCTTGGATGGAAGTATTTTCATTGATATGCGAGCACACAATCAGTTCATTTGCCAATATACTGGGCTATGTTTTGATGAACAATCCAAAATTCAACCGAAAATTAAGGCTATATTACTTTGAAATTGGACATATAAAGGAGTATAATAAATAAATTTACAATCAATAATGTTTACATTCAGAAAACATTGATATTCTTCGTATGAAACAAATGAAAAAATAAGATTAGATGCTTAAAAATAGAAAAGAACATTGAAAGATATGGATTGGAACCAAATTTTGTTTTGAAAGGAAACAAGTTTTCGTTTTTTTTTCTTACTGAGAGGAATAATACTTCAGCAAGAAATGAAAATAAAGGGTGGAAAAGGGAAAGAAATATCCAAAAATGTCACCTTTGAACCCAAATGTCACTCTGATTTGTTTATGATAAATAAATGAAAGTAAGTAGGCGGAAAATTACGCATAAAAAGACCGAAGAAATTATTTCTATCGTATGCGTATAGACAAGAAAGAAGGATAATGAATAACTTAACATATAATCAAAAAAAGCGACTATTTTAAGTATTCTTTCAATATCCAACAGTTTAGCAACAGATGAGAGATTACTGTAACTCCCTAAATCTATAGTTGTTTTCATATATATTGATTACGGTA